TACAATTATTTTTGAAATTTATTATAATTTAATAGTGAAATTTAATCATCAAAAATTGGCTTTTTTAAGATTCCCTCGCAAATTTCTAAAACGCAACGCTATTGGTTGAATAAAACGTGACGTCAACCTACACTGTCAAGAGTGTCAACAAGTTGTGTGTATTTGTAATATTATTATTTGGTTTCTGGTGATTATTTATTTCATTTTAAGTTAATAACTAATAGGTTTTCAGTGTTAAATTATTAAATTCCCGAGTAGAAAGACTCAACACAATGACTGAATATATTTCAGGTGCAGTTTTGATATTATTTGGGCACAAAGGAACGGCACAATATTTATAATAAGTTTTTATTGGCTTTCCATGGTAATAAGTTGATTTTTATTACTCACTTTTTTAAGTTTCACAAACTTTGTGAACTTCTCTCCGTTGTTGACATCGAATTCGTCTGAAAGTGTAATATGACGTCACAAAAAAAGCGCGCCAAAATGGACGTGTTCAAATTGCCCCAAAATGATAGTGATTTTAATAATTTTTTTTTTTGCTTAACGGTTTATATTTCGGATGTTATATTAATTTTTGGTAATGTAATAACTAGTTGAATCGTAAAAAAAATAAAAAAATACATGCATATTCCCTATTGTTCAACCGACTTTAAACGGTCCGTGTGAAGTATCCGATCCTAAATAACTAATATCAATAAATAAGCTCAGACGTAGTACTAAAATTATTTAAACAAACAAAATAAGATATACAACTGGGACGTCCGACATTTTGAACTTACATCAGCCTTGACCAAATATTTATAAGAGTTTTTAATATAAATCTATTTTAGCCAGAAATGCTCTCTATACTGTATCTGTGGGGGGCTGCGATGAAATATATTTAAATGTAGGGCAAGGAGAATTTAGGAAAAGCTATATATCTCCAATATTGACGTTGCATTGCTAGTGCATTCCTTATTCATCCCGTGGGTATCGTAAGAGCCGACTAAGGGACAAACTACGCAGGACAGCAATATTGCAAAGAGAAGGAAAACGGAAAGGAGAACGAAGCTTGGTATAGTAGGACAAAACCTCTTTTCTAAGGAGAGGCCTATGTCCAGCAGTTGATGTATCCGTGTGGTGACGGATTAAGAATACAGAGTGTCACCACTCCTATTCATCCCGTGGTTGTCGTAAGAGCCGACTAAGGGAAAAAACTACGCAGAACAACAGCACTGCAGAGAGAAGGAAAACTTGAAACAAACCCTAGACCAACCCGTCTGGCCAGCGTGGTATAGTAGGCCAAATCCTCCTGTCTAAAGAGAGACCTATGTCCAGCATTGGACTATTAAAGGCTGTTGATGATTGATGACTGGAAACTGTCAACGTCTCAACGAATTGCTCATCATCAGTTTTTTGTGATGCCGTGATATCGCTCCGGTCGAGCCTGAATAATGGTTCTCAAACTGTGCTTTATATAAGATAACTAGCTGACCCCGCAAACGTTGTTTTGCCATATAAATTATGTCAAAAAAATTGTCAAAAAATAAAAAAATTAGGGGTATGAAAAATAGATGTTGGCCGATTCTCAGACCTACTCGATATGCACACAAAAATTTCACGAAAATCGGTCTAGCCGTTTCGGAGGAATTCAACTTCAAGGTCTGAAGAATCGGCCAACATCTATTTTTCATACCCCTAAATGGTAAGGGTGACCCATCCCTAATTTTTTTTTGTTTTGCAATACAACGTTTGCCGGGTCAGCTAGTCTTTATACAAGATAATAAGTGCATGGCTTTTATCCGCAGAGCTATAAAATGTTGGTAAGCCGTAAAATTTCCCTTTGATGATGTAAAACGTTTTTATGAGTATTTGAATAGTTTACGTTCCTTCGAATAGACTGGTAAATGCGTCATGTCCTGTGACGTAGGCAGCGTAGATATAAAGGAGTCTATAGACGGTGTTTTAATGCGTCATTGAATTATATGTCAGTGACGTTGGCAATATATTTCCCTTTTTAAAATATTGTTTTATAGTTAGTATAGTTTATTTTTAACAACTTTATCACAAGTAATAGTTTAAAAAATCCAAAAGGACAAGTTAGGAAGTAAAGGACAAGGACCAAATAATGCAATAAAAAGACCGAAGCAGGACGAGGTACAACGCACCCATGGCCCATTTTTAAACAAAAACTTTTTAAACCAATTAATTGTTCCTTATTTAATTAAAATATATAACTTATATTTATTTTTGCAGTTACCTTTTAATTTTCTTGATTAGGTTTACCTACTCGATAGGTTTTGTTCATTTTTTTAATTAAGCTATTACTATTTTGCGGCATTTTGTTTTAAAAGCTGTCTAGGGTACTTGGGTTTTTGAGAAACATAAAACAATACCTTAACTGTTTAAATCCAGCCAGCCATTTGGAAGATACGAGGTAATAAATAAAGTTACAAACAAACATACAAGATACGCGCTAAAAACATAACCCTTACTTGGCAGTATAGTAAAAAGTAAACCAAAGAGCATAAATAACAATACCATATGTGTAACATATGACAATCATCATCATCAATCATCAACAGCCTATACTAGTCCACTGCTGGACATAGGCCTCTCCTTGGAAAGGAGGGTTTGGCCTACTATACCACGCTGGCCAGACGGGTTGGTATAGGGTTTGTTTCAAGTTTTCCTTCTCTTTGCAGTGCTGTTGTCCTGCTTAGTTTGCTCCCTTAGTCGGCTCTTACGACACCCACGGGATGAATTGGGGTGGTGACAATTTGTATTCTTAATCCGTCACCACACATATGACAATATTAAGCCGTAAATAAAGATTACTCCAACTGCGCAAGAGCGTTCTCACCCTATTCACGAACATATCGTTTTAACATTTGACTAGCCTGTATGTGCAATGGTTACCCTGACTGCTAAGCCAGAGGTCGCGGGTTTGATTCCCACCCACATATACCCACATATTATTGTGTTATGAGCACAATCATTTTTCCTAAGTCTGGGTGTAATTTATTAATAATATCTATGTATTTAGAAATGTACAATAAGCATGTTTATCAGCAGTCTGGTAGCACAGGTTGTGCCTAGTTTGGGATCAGACTGCCGTGAATGAGGTCTGTCACGTTATTAAGTTATGTTTCTATCATAACAACCTTTTTTTTCCGTGCGGAAATCCCCTCGGATACCACCTGTCGGTGGCATGTCGGACTCGAACCGACTAAAACCGCACGCCGTCTCGGGTACTAATAGCCGGGGAACCAGGTATACCCTAGAAAGGAAGTCCCTGGTGCCCCGACATACCTCGGGCCATCTACAGACGAGGAGACGACCCCCCCCCCGTGTGGGAACCCCATGTTCCCTCTATCATAACCACCTGCTTTTAAACGCTTACTTAGTAAAAAGTAAATAGCTGAGGCGGGTCATGTAACTTACTTTTGATCTAAATTGCATTATTAATCTAACTTTTAAAGTAACAACTGATTTATTCACATTACTGGTAACTTAATATATTCATCATTCATTCATCAACAGCCTTTAATAGTCCACTGCTGGACATAGGCCTCTCCTCAGAAAGGAGGTTGTGGCCTACTATACCACGCTGGCATTGGGTTGGTATAGGATTTGTGTCAAGTTTTCCTTCTCTCTGCAGTGCTGTTGACCTGCGTAGTTTAGTCCCTTAGTCGCCTCTTACGACACCCACGGGATGAATAGGGGGTGGTGACACTCTGTATTCTTAATCCGTCACCACACGGACAACTTAATATATATTATAGGCGAACAGTGTTATTAATAATTATTCCAAGACACTAACCATGTTTTTATCTGACTGTACAAAACAGCTTTTTTGGGAGGTGTCCGAAATGTCAATGAAAAAAATTCAATTCGGTCAAGTGTCCGTAAACATTTGTGTCCGAAGTGTCAGCAAGCCGGGTTTTTTGACACAGTAGAGTGATTCATCAGGAAGGTTAAGGTGTAACGTTAATCATCATCATCAGACGTCCTCTGCTGACGTCTCAACATAACACTGTGTAACATTTAAAAAGATTTTATTTAAATTAGAGAAGATGTCAGATGGTTGTCGAAGATGTAAAAAAAAAATGGCAGCTGAAAAAATATAAAGAAGCTATATGGAAATAATGTAACGAAATTATTGACTTCTAAAATTGCGCATAATCATGGCGAATTAAAATAAAGTGTAATCCTTAATTTTCTACAGTTAGGAATGGTATTTTATCTTCAAATTTGAATGGGACCAAACATGAAGTCGTCTTGTACCCCGTCTCAAATAAAAAATATCCTCATCGGATCATAAATCTAAAAAAAATTACACCTACATACATTTACACAATAATTTGACCTGGTTAGTGACCTTGGCTTTTAGGCCAGAGTTCGTGGGTTCTGGGGAACTTTGACTTAACAGTCAAGGCCACTAACCGCTAGACACACAGTCCTGAAACTTTCAAGAGTAGAGTAAAAGCAAGTAGAAGAAAGACAGGGATAGACGCCTATCCCTGTCTTTCTTTCTTTCGTAACTTTCCATCAGGTAACTTGGAAGATAAACGCTTATTTCAATACCGAAATAGATAGGTGGAACAAAATCTTTAAAAAAACCTTCCATTTTCAAACTTCTGAGTTATTTTTGCTTAAAGAATGTTTAATTTTACCTATTTTTTTTTAAAGAAACTTTATTGACCATTTAAATTGACATTAAATCAGTGACTACTATTTTGGAAATTATCGAAATATAAAATAATTTAATAACTAAACTCATAAATAAAGTGTTAGTAAAAATTTTGTTTTATACATGTATAAAATATTTTTATAACATATGTATACGTACTAAAAAAAAACTAAAATAAAAACCTAAAAACCGCAAAAAGTTAGTAGAAACTCGGTTAGTTCCCTTGCTCGCAGTTAGTTTTCTCACAGAACAGAATTTTCACATGAATAATTTAAAATATTTCCAATCTATAATTAAAACAAACCCATTTTAATCAAAAACTCACCCCATCGCTTTCCAGTCCTTCCAAGAAATGTCCTCTCTTCTGGATTCCAGATCCCATATTTGATCCTTTGGAGAAATGGTCTCTGAGGAGGTCGGCGGCAGTAGTTGATCACACCGTTGGGCTTGTCGGCGCCCATCGTGCAAGCCTGGCAATGGTGGACTGGCGGCCGTTGTAACGACTTTGGTAATATGGAGTAACTGGGAGTCTTCTACCTACATAGTTAGTTACGCTATGAGGTTGCTCTGTTTTTATGAATGATTAGACTTCTAAATACGTAATATACTAATCACATTTGTATTTAACTAACGTGCAACGTATTATAAGGACTAAGTTTGAAAAATTATATTTTTTATTTTGTACAGCTAACGTTCACTAAAAACAAGATCAAACACTATTTATTCCAAAATAACTGTTCACGTTTTCACATGTAACTTAATTTATTAGTTAAATATGATTTTGAATATTACTCTGTTTGGTTTTAAAGCAACGGTTTTCTGATATAAGCGATATAAATCTCAAAATTAAAAAGGCTGCTAATTTAACTAATACATTCCAGCTTTCATAGTAAAACTTCTGCTTAGTTTGAAACTAGATGGCGTTGTGTGTCAGTTGTCCGAAAATATTATTATATTGATCTGCAGAAAATGACAAGGTCCAGTCACCCCAGTATCAGGTTAAAAGAACCTTTCTTCAGGACGGCTTTAAAAGTGGAGCAACTCGAAAATTGTTGCTACACTCTGCATTCACTGTCGCTTGTATCATGGGAGGTCTCCGAAGAATCGTTTGGACTAACAAGGCCGCTGCTTTTTGTCATCGTTCGGACAAAAAACCCATCCCCATTGGTTTTGCGGTGGTAGTCACTTTTGTCACAATTACTGTACTAAACTAATAAAAAATTAACTCAATTAAAAAAGTTGTCTATAAAAAGATTTGGTCTCTGAAAGGTGTTAAGAAGGTTATGTATTTTTGCTGTTTTATGTATTGTATTTGTATCTAATATTTTAGGTGGCATTGCCAAAAGTCTCTTATGTCTAATATCTTAAATACTTATTTTAATAGTATTTTGTATTTCAGATATCGGATATCTTGTAGATCTCCGGTTGTTAGAAGAATTAACTCCCGAGAAAATTATTTATATTAAAGCCTTATGGAAGTAGTCATAGTCCGGCAGAAGAAAATAGGTCAATAGCACTTCAAGGTTTCAAAAATATTCAAATGCAATGGAGGACATGTTCAAGACGCTGCTCTGGAAAGGGCGTGGCATCAATATCAATGTCGAATACATCTCTCGCTTGCGATTTGCAGACGACATCGTCATCATGGCAGAGACGCTGCAGGACCTACAGCAGATCCTGAATGACTTAGCTGACTCTTCTGTACGCATCGGCCTACGGATGAACTTGGATAAAACCTAGGTCATGTTCAATGAACATGTACTACCGGAACCGATTGCGGTACACGGTGCCGTTCTCGAAGGTGTTCAAAATTATGTGTACCTCGAGCATGCTATGAAAAAAGGCAATGCTGGGCGTCTCTCTTAGGGATTGCATCAGGAATGAGGTCATGCGACAGAGAACCAGGGTCACCGACATAGCCTACCAGATTAGCAAGCTGAAGTGGCAGTGGGCTGGCCATATTTGACTGCACGGATGGCGTAGTGGTTTAAGCGGTCGCCACGCCGCTTCCTACTGCGCCGAGTGTTGTGGGTTCAAACCCCTTAAACTTAACTTAACTTGTCTTTTTTAAAAGAAAACTAAAAGAAGAAAGATATTAGCCGCAGAACCGACAACCGTTGGGAAAAACGAGTTCTTGAGTGGAGACCGCGTCTCGGCAAACGTAGTGTAGGACTCCCACAAGCCAGGTGTAGTGACGATTTGCATAAGATGGCTTGCAGGAGCTGGATGCGTGAAACCCAATATCGATCTAAGTGGCGTGCAATGGGAGGTTTATTCAAAACATTCATAATGCTACAATTTTACCTACGAGCAACTGTCGTATCTTTAGCCAGTTTAGTCTATGGCCAGTCGTCAGTTGGCCGCCCAAATCTGCCTGTAACCGGCGCGCCGCCCAACTCCGCCCGCCCAGCGCCCCGCACCCAGCCCTGTGCTAACGTGCTAAGTGATACATTTGCAAAGTGTCAACTTGTATCGAGGCCAATTACTTAGCAGGTAGGAGGTTCCATGATTAATTAAATTGAGTTCAAAGACATGAATCTACACTATCATAAGCGATCATCTCTAAAAACTGAGTCAGATTTTAATGATTCAATTTGTATTGGATAGAGCATTTATTGGGAAATAATAATATTAGTGACCAACCGAAGAAATCCAGTTTCGGTTTTGGCCAAAATTGGCTGAAAGTCACAACTCAAGAAACACTTGGGCGTAGTTTTACTCAAACTCAAACTCTCTTTATTTCATAAAATCTTAAAATTGTTTGAAATCGTCTTTTATGTAGACTCTAAAGTCATAGATCAACACACACAAAAGCAACAATCTCTGTTTTGTCAAATAGTAAGCAAATAAATTTAACAAAAATCATACCATACAAAATCTATGATATGCCTGTGCCGATCTAGTTAGTTCCAAGGGGTTAAGCCTTATGAGAAGAAAGGGCAAACAAACTCATGGCCGGTTACAAGCCGAAAATTAACCTCAAGCGTTGAGTACCATTTTATACGACCACCCTTAGATTTCTTTGTTTGTAGATACTTAATTTTTCTTCAGTTGTTACATTTACATGTATCCATAATTCTTTTTGTTTGTTGAGTCGCCACTCAAAGGGCAAGTATCATACCTGATACAAAATCAATCCTGTTGGTCTGACCTGACTGTTAAGCCGGAGGTCGTGGGTTCGACTCCCACCCAGAACAAATATTGTGTGATAAGCATGGTCATTTATTCTGTGTCTGGGTGTAATTTATCTATTAGAAATTTATAAGTATGTTTATAAGCAGTCTGGTTACCATAGCACAGGCTCTGCCTAGTTTGGGATTAGACTGACGGGTGTAAGATGTGTCAAGGTATTATTATTACTTCCAGAAGCCTGTGAACGCCCCAGGAGGCTTCTGCACTTCTGGTTGGCTCACCTAGCCAACCTTTCCTTGACGTATAAAGGACCATTCTTGAGTCCTTTGAATGAGTTTGCTCCCTTAGTCGACTCTTACGACACCCACGAGATGAATAGCGGTGGTGACACTACGTATTCCTAATCCGTCACATCACAAACATACTTATATATTTCAACATCCGTGTGGTGACGGAGTAAACTACGCAGGACAACAGCACTGCAAAGAGAAGCTAAACTTGACACCAATCCTATACCGACCAGTCTGGTCAGCGTGATATAGCAGGTCAAAACCTCCTTTCTAAGGAGAGGTCTATGTCCAGCAGTGGACTATACAAGGCTGTTAATGATGTGATGTGATATATTCCTAATACATGCATCTTATAGTATCTATAGTACAGGTTTGTGAGATGTGTCACGTTAGAATATTATTATCGAAAAATAATAAAACAATATCAAATAATTCACAACTGTATTCATTTATTTTTTTAAATATTTCACAAACATGTAGGAATATCTTAATTTATACAGGCTTTGTACTCGTAACAGGCAACACAATTAGTATCTAAAATAATATAATATAATTTATGAAAGAAAAAAAATGGAATTTAGTCAATATTACATTATGTTTTTACATTACAACCACCGTTTTTAGAATCTCAGTGACAACTGTGGCAACTGTAAATTTTTGTAGTTACATCAGATTTACACTAGATGGCGTTCATTTTACTACAAACAATTCACTATTAACACGTAAAACCGTGCTAGGCACTCCGAACTAAAACAAACCAGTATTTAAAGTATTAATTTGTTTTTATAATATAGGAGGCATTCGAGTCACCTGATGGAAAGCAACTACCGCCGCTCATGCACGCCTGCAACTCAGTAGTGTTGGCGGTCTTTGAGGAAGAAGTGCGATCTTTTCTTGAAGGTTTAAAGGCCGAATCGATCCGGAAATACCGCATGCAACAATTAATGAATATCTGCAAACTATTATCACGTAAATATAATTAAATAACTTCACAATTTAAACTTTATAGCCAGCGAAATGGACATATTTCTGTTGTGTTCTGAGTGAATTCACAAAAGTAGCGTTAAAATATGAACATGTAATACGACAGGCCTGTCGGTCTGGTGGGTCGGGGGTTCGATTTCCGCCCGGGACGTGTAGTTGTGTGATAAGCGGGTTAGTTTGTGCTGTGTCTGGGAGTGGTTCGTCTATGGTGTGTGTTTGGAAGTATATAGTGTGTTTGTCGGTCCGGCTGTCGTTTGTTGCTATACATATTTAGAACAACGAAGGGCTACACTATTTTATTATGTACATATCGTAAAGATAGTTGTATTTATTGTGTGTTATAAATAAATAAAAATAAAATAAACCAGCTGTACCCTGCCACGCTTCGCTTGTGGCACATTGTGGTTGCATTGTTGGATAATGAGGGAAAAAACTAAGGCAAAATATAAATAAAAACATCTTTGAAGCGGTTTGTATGTCGTGTAAAAATTTGGGCTCAATCAGTGCAGTACTTTTTGAGTTTTTGAAGCGTACACAAACCAACTTAACATCAGATTTCATAGACATCATGTTAGCTACATAATACTTTTAATCACAAACCACAAGTAATTTTCTTATTGATATAATTATGAGATTCTTAAAATTGTATTATTTAATTGAAATATGGTTATGGTAAACGTTATCTTTACATAGGATAAAATGAAGTCGCTTTTTTTTCTTGTACGCTTAGATCCTAGATCCAAAACCAAAGGCCAAAACTCATTTCTAAGGAGAGGTCTAGGTCTTTCTAAGGAGAGGAGAGGGTTAATCCGTGTGGTGACGGATTAATAATACGGAATGTCAGCGCCCCTATTCATCCCGTGGGTGTCGTAAGAGCCGACTAGGGGAGCAAACTACGCAGGACTGCAAAGAGAAGGAAAACTTGACACAAACCCTATACCAACCCGTCTGGCTAGCGTGGTGTAGTAGGCCTAAACCTCTTTTCTTAGGAGAGGTCTATGTCCAGCAGTGGACTGTCAAAGGCTGTTGAGGATGATGATGAACATTACATACCACACCTTTGTTTAATAACGTCATACATGAATAAACTCACGTATTAATCGCCCAAATTTTGAATACTATAATTTTAGGTCCGATTACGTAATAAGTGCCAAGTCTTTATCCGGGCACATTTACTTTTAAATTAACATGCTTTTATATTTCTAAATACATACATCTTGTAGAAAAATCATTCCCAAACAAAAGAAATTATCGTGCTCATTACACAATGTTATTTCCGGATGTGAATATAAGCCACGCCCTCTTTAGCAGTCAGAACCGCTGACCGCTAGCCCGTCACAACTTAAAAAATAAATTATCGAGAAAAGGGCGTTTAATATTAAAATAACAATTTGGAAACTAGCTTGGAGCTTAAAGCTAGATTCTGACTTGCTGAAAAGCTTTTTAAAACTAAAACCCAAAAGGTAAAACATAAAAGTGGTATAAATATGTCTAAATTTTTTGGTACATAACACATTATAGTGAGCATAGTGTATAGAGACCTAGAACAGCCTCATTTACTAAAAGAGTCTTTTCTAAAAGTGAATATTTCTTAACACGTAATCCATTGCTTCTTAAGTATGCGGTTCTGTGGTATCCTCAGCTGTATTGTCTTCAATGTACAGCTGCACACGAGTGTAGCCAGACGGTTCTTTGAGGCTCTTGTTATAGATGATGTTGTGTGCCCAAGCTCTGCAGCGTATGGTGACGACACGGTTCACTGAAATTACATTAAAATCATTATCATTTCATAAATAAACTTTAAGATCCGGTGTTAAGTTTCTAAAAGATCACAAGCAGTGATTTGTTTATTCTCATTACTTGAAAATCAAATAAACATATCCTTAATTCCATACTTATATTACTGTTGTGTCATAGGATTAAATGGTTCGATTGTATTGAATGTGGAGGACCGCGCCATCTAGTATCGACTAAAGTACATCTATTAAGATTGTGGTTAATACAAGTAGTTCTGATCCTTACAACGCTAGATGGCGCTGCAAGTAACTGATTCTGGATTATTCGTGTTTGTTCTAACGGACTGTCGAATACTAGGAACTTTCTAGTAAAATTCAAAAGCGCTCTAAAAGCGGAGCGTGTTGACCGTTCGACACAGTTTCGTTTTACGGCACAGCGAATTAACATCGGAGTGAATTTCTAGTGCGACCAACAAGATATATAGTGATTCCTAGTAGTGAGTGTATTGGTTGTGGGCTTCGGTTTCCGCATTTAGACTCAGAGTGGTCCTTTATGCGCCGAGGATTGGTTGACTATGTGAGCCAGCCAAGCTCCTTCCAGAAGCGCAGAAGCCTCCTGGGGCGTTCACAGGCTTCTAGGAGCGACTTTATATCGGAAATGATACTTGCCCGTTGTGTGGCCACTCCCTCGCATTCCAGGATTACGTGAACGGCCGTTTCTTCAGCTTCCAGACATCCCCTGCACAGGGGACTGTTCGTCGCGTTGATGATGAATAGTTGTCGGTTCAGGGCTAGATGTCTTGTAATAGTTCCGACAACCATTCTGATTTCCAGTCTGCTAAGACTGATCAATCTACAGGTGAGTCGTCGTGTGACTTGATTCAGCACCAGTTTGGACTGTCTGCAGCCGGGTGAGTTTTTCCACCTCCGGTTGTGTGTTTCACAGGTCCGTTGCCTGACCCAGCATCATATTTGGTTAAACGATATGAGCAGGAATGTGGTTGGGCCGGAGGTCAGGGTTGCCGAGCCCCTCCTATCCAACTCATCTGCGGCATCGTTCCCGTGTGAGTTACTGTGCTTTTTAATCCATTGGATGAGTACCCCATTGAATGTAGCGAGCTGTTCCAGTGCTTGGTGGCATTCGAAGACAATACCAGAGGTCATTGTGTTGCCCTCTAGTGCCTTTAAGACGGCCATGCTGTCGGATATTATTCGGATGTTGTAATCCTTGATACCCCTTGACATGGCCGTGGTGGCAGCGTAAGTTATTGCCACACATTCACATTGAAATATGGAACTGTGTTGGCCTAACGCTAGTGATATAACCTTTCGTCCGTGACGAGTCCTGTAGCAGGACACGTCAATAATCGCGCATCTGTGACGCGTCCTGTCACAGGACGCGGCACAGATGTTTGTTTAAATGTCTATTAAATTGCGTCCTAAAGCTCTGTCCCTTTCCAACGTATTACGAATTGTTCACGAAAGAACAGGGTCTCCTCTCACATAGAATTTGGGAAGTCTGTGGTATAAAAAAGTTGACTTTTGTTGTTTTAACCGGTGGCCTTTTTTTGTTCAAAGTTTATAAACATGTGCAGTATAAAAAAAATGTATGGAAACACATGACAATTGCTTTTTATTTTAAAATATACTCAAGGTTGTATAAGAAGAAAGAAATATTACATCCAGAAAGTGTTTTATTTTTTATAAACAGGATAATAAAGGTAAGTTCTAGTTAACCCATTAACGTAAACACACGCGCGGAATTGTCATTTTATTATGTCACGTATGAAAGGATAAGTAGTAGTGAGTGTATGTAACTACAGGGAAATAAAGCAATTAACCGACAACTTTTATTTATCATATACCCCGGTTGTAACATTACAAATGCTAAAGTGAGTTTGTTTGTTACGCTTTCACACCTAAAATACTTAACCGATTTTAAAAATCCTTTCACCAATGGAAAGCTACATTATCAGTGAGTAACATAGGCTACTTTTTACCGCCAAAAGTTATTAGCTACTATTACGCGGGTATTAGCTACTATATACATATTTATGACCCCTAACATGCGTAATTTATCAAACACTAGCTGACCCGCGCAACTTCGTCTGCGTCTCTCAATAGTAATAAATTTTCTCCGTTTTTGAAACATTCTTCATTGGTGCTCCGCTGCTATTGGTCTTAGCGTGATGATATATAGCCTATAGCCTTCCTCGATAAATGGGCTATCTAACACTGAAAGAATTTTTCAAATCGGACCAGTAGTTCCTGAGATTAGCGCGTTCAAACAAACAAACAAACTCTTCAGCTTTATAATATTAGTATAGATGAGCATCGTCCAAAATTTTTATTACAATTAAAATAAATAATATCCTCACCAGGGGGCGTCAATTTGACAGCGACGAGGGGACTCCTATAGCCCTTCAAGATAGAAAAGGGGTAGAACGAAGCCCGCAGTCCACGGCCCCAGGGATACTCCATATGTGTTTCGTTAGCCTTCTCCTCTTCGCATGATATCCATACCTGATTTTGCTGTCGAGTTTGTAAGAGATTTATAATTTGTCATGTTCTATCCAAAATAAAAAAAAAACCCAAATTGTATTTTTAATATGTGTAGCCTCAGTGGTGCAGTGGTAGTGTATGCAACTGATGTGCTGATGTCTCAGGTTTGATTCCGACAAAATGTTTGTAGGAACTGCAAATATTGTTTTCGGAGTTTGTGTTTTTTTAAACTATAATATGTAAAAATTAAAAAAAAAAGTACTCTATCAGTCAATCTAGCTTTCATAGTGCAAGCTCTGCTTAGTTTGAAACTAAATGGCGTTGTGTCTTAGATATCCGAAATAAATGTATATGGGTACAAAACTTATGAGTGTGTGTGTGTGAGCGTGAACTTTAAATGTCCCTTTTACCCCTCCCCTCTGAATTATTATTTATTTATATTTATTATGGCATAGCTGTCTCACGATTATTCCAAAAATGGCTAACATAACCAGTCATAGTATAGTGTTAAGGACTTGTGATCATGCGGTATCAGGAACGAATCCCACCGAGTGCATTACCCGTTTTTTTTTCCGTGCGGATATCCCCTCGGATACCACCCAACGGTGGCATGTCGGACTCGAACCGACTAAAACCGCACGCTGTCTCGTTTACTAATAGCCGGGGAACCAGGTATACCCTAGAAAGGAAGTTCCTGGTGCCCCGACATACCTCGGGCCATCTACAAACGAGTAGACGACCCCCCCCCCGTGTGGGAACCCCATGTTCCCTCTGCTCCCTGGAAGCGAGCGCCACCGACCGAGTGCACTACCCTTGTAAATCTTTTAATACAAATATTTGGATAAACTGGAAGGTTTAAGAATAACATGCTCCTAGTTAGGAAAAAGATCCTTACTTCTGATGGGTTTTCATTATGTATAAATTCTGCAAGATCCTCTGGTATATCTTCTGGTAACGCCGTAACGTTATAGAAATCCGGCTTCCAACCAATTATCTGAAACAGTGACACCGAAAATGAGAAGTTTTAATAAGAAAATTATTGTCAATGAAACCAGTTAAGATAAAAACACGGATCAGTAAGAACAGAATAGATTCGATAAAAAAAACTCAAATGGAAGCTCTGATAGATGATTGATAGACAAACTATATACATATATGGTTTATGATAAACAAATGAATTAAAAGTCAATAGAGGTACAGTCCAGACGGATTAAGAATACAGTGTCACCGAACCTATTCATCCGTGTTGTAAGAGCCGACTAAGGGAGAAAACTACGCAGGACAACAGCACTGCTAAGAGAAGGAAAACTTGTAACAAAACCTGTACCAAGCTGTCTGGTAGTCGTAGTAGTGAGTTAAAACCTCCTTTCTAACGAAGGGCCTATGCCCAGCTGTGGACTATTAAAGGCTATTGATGATGATTAAATACACACAGAAGAATTAACTTACTCTGTTAATTTTAACAAATATGCAGGGACTGTCTGGGAAGCCGTAGCTATCTTTGGATGTGCAGTTCTTATTTTTCAACCACCAGTCTTCATTCTTGTAATCTAAAACAAGGCAGTAGAGTCACAGTCATTGCTTTTTGCAGTCACAAAGTGGAATTTAAGCTCTCCAAACAAAAATAGAAGGCTTCCTAAATGTCACTTTTCTAAATTTTTGTTTGTAATTGTAAAAATATCGTCACACACATACATACACACACACACGCGCGCGCGCACACACACACGCACACACACACACACACACACACACACACGCGCGCGCGCACACACGCACACACACCCACACACATCTCACATACTAAAGTCTAATTATTACAAATTAAATAATTGTATTGATCCCAAACTAAGCAGAACCTGTACTACTACTACTACTAACCAGACTGCTGATGAACATACTTATTTGTTTCTAAACATACATATTTAAGATAAATATGATACACCCATACACCCTGTCACAGATGAAATTATCGTGCTTATCGTTATTTGTCCTGGGTAGGAATCGAATCCACGACTTTAGGGTCACTAACCACTAGACCAACGGTTGAGTCCAGTTCAATAAGTTGGAGTCTTAAGGATGAAGGCAATTTTTGATAAAATTAATCTCTTAATACTTCTAATAAGTGTACCATTCGATTGGTATCGCTAAAACTCATACTATGAAATTTTTTGCAAGTTTTATAACTAAACAATACTATCCCAATGTTAGTGATTAAACGAAAAAATTATAAGAATCCTTAAATTTTAAAGATTATCATCATTTTCCTTCCTTTTTCCCAATTTGGTTTAGGATCAGCGAAATTAGTATCATTGCAAAAGGTTTTCTGCGAGTCCTTTAATAGCCGGTCACCCGCCTGACGCTAAGCTTCCTTATGACTGTAACGTTTTCAGACAGGACAAAGGTTGAAGGTAAATTTGAGTAATAAAAAAGGCTTGAAGAATGAGTGATTTTTTGTTGATAAGGTAGAAAATCGGTAGTGGTTTAAGCGGTCGCCACGCCGCTTCCTACAACGCTGAGTGTTGTGGGTTCGACCCCCACATAAGACGACACATTATGTGATCCACAAATTGACGTTCTGAGTCTAGATGTTCTTTTTGTCCGTTTCATATATGTTTGTAAAGTCTCCCGCGACACAGGATATATTCCTAATGCAGGAGTTGTCTTTTAAATAAAAACACTCTTAATAAGACACAGAACCAATTTTCTGTGACAGAAACCGTGTCTTGTCGTCACACCCCCAACTACAATTATCATATTGCAATTGTCCACTTCAATAGTCAATATAGTTTCAATTAGCAACTACAATAAGTTAGTGCTAGTATGAAAGCATTCCATCAATGACTCGTAACTAAATTGCTGGCCAACCACACCCTCACTCGTGGGAGCGGTTACACCATGTTTGCGACATAAATTGCCTTATCTAATTGCGATCTGAGGATCAATTCTCGTAATAAAAATTCTTTCAAAATTGAGTTTCTCTATCTCATAAGTGTTATAAAAGGTATTTTCACAGTAAAGTATTACCAAGACTAGCAGAATACCGATTCAACTTTCGGTTACAATGCGATATAATCACAATACATTCAACGTCGGTTGTTTAAAAAAAAGCCGTGTGGTGTCGTGGGACACCCGATAGGAACGAAGTTGTGACGATCGAGTAAAACTGATTCGACACGATTTTAATTACAACGCCATCCATGAAAGCGGCTATTACCTACGTATTTTTCGGTTGGTTTCTAATTAAAACAATTTATAAATTGGTAAAATCTCCTTGAGAAATGATGTCGAATACAATATTTTTTGCTCAACCTAAGAACATAAATTTTTATTTTACTGAGATGAAAAGTAATGATTTCCTATCTATTCGATAGATGGCGCTGAATGACTGACAAGTGACAATTCAAAATAAAAAGTGTCGTTACAACTTTTCGTGAGATTTTTTTCCGTCTAGCCCCCTTACACAACGCGCGATAAGGAACTTCGTACCAACTGCACTACGAGAATGCCTATTATGACATTTGTGAGATCGAGAGCAGAACTGAAATTGGAACCAATTTTTATTACGAGAATTGACCTTCTAGTTATTGACGAGAGTTTACTTAATTTTTAACTAATATGCAGTCGAAAACTACCCACTTCTTGAATATTTTAACCTATATCAATCTTAATTAATATTAATAATACGAATGTTAGTTGTTTTTTTGAAATGTTTTAGGCAGCAAACAAGTAGATAGATCACCATGTTTTTTTCCGTGCGGAAATCCTCTCGGATACCACCTATCGGTAGCATGTCGGATTCGAACCGACTAAAACCGCACGCCGTCTCGGGTACTAATAGCCGGGGGAACTAGGTAGATAGATCACCCTATAATACAAACCTACCTACTACCACCGCCCAGTGGTATGAATATTTGTGCTATCAAATTCAAAAAGAGAATAAAAAATTCTATGGGTAATTACAAAAGATTAACTCCTGTAAGTTTATGGCAACTTCCACATACAATGAAACAAAAACAGACTTCAGTGCCATCTAACGAAGACACACTAAACCACGGAGTAACTGTCAATCCTGCATCGCGATATAAAAACTTTTCACGTCGATTAGCATTTATACAACTTCCTGACATCAACCGTTACGCCGCGGTCCACCAGGCATAATCACCTAGCCTGGTCGGAGGATCCTCCCTTTGTGTAGCGGGACATAGAACCCGTTGTACCACAAATACAAAAACGTTCAACTTTACGCCCAATAAATGCTTAAGTACCTTCAAAGAACTCGTCAAGTTCTTGTATGTACTGCTGGTGGAAACTGCTATTACCCACTTTGATATGCAGCATGGGGTCTTCAGGCATAGGCCGGTGTGTCACTCCAGGGTTTGCACCTGAAATTATTTAGGGTAGTATGTTAGATTAACTTCAAGACTTAACAAGCGTCATATTCGTTTGTCTTTTACATAACTGTTATGGATCCTGGAATAGCAATAAGGGTGTGTCGTGAAGAAACTGAGCTTCAGTTTTAATGGAACGGGACTGGCCATGTTTTAGAATGCTTGATAGGTTTTGAGCCAAAGTAACCACAGCCGTGAGAAATGGTCATGTCTTAGCATGCCAAAAAGGTTTTGGGCTAAACTCATGCTTCAGCACAAATGGCCTGGCTTGACCGGAGTAATAACATGACCTCACAGTAAACAGTTGTTTAGCAACGTCATCAAAAGTCTTTTCTTGTTGTTAACCGAGTGCTTGAGGTTCATCATCAGCCCTTAATAATCCACTGCTGGACATAGGCCGCTCCTTAGAAAGGCCTACTATACCACGCTGGCCAGACGGGTTTGGTATAGGGTTTATGTCAAGTTTTCCTTCCCTTTGCAGTGCTGTTGTCCTGCGTACTTTGGTCCCTTAGTCGTCTCTTACGACACACACGGGATGAATAGGGGTAGTGACACTCTGTATTCTTAATCCGTCACCACACACTTACACACAGTACTTAAACATACTAGTATAAAAGTAAAATAGAGTATAGATTACCGATAAGTGAGTCTTCCAGTAAATAAGTAGGTTGGGTTTTCTCCAGGCTGAGAAATAACCCTCCCATACACAGCGCGAAGAGAAATGTAAGGACTGCATAGAACACCATGTAGAATGTCAGCATTATACCTGAAATGGGTTTACAACTTAATATTTACTTGTAAAAAAAAGAATAATATTTAAACTATCGCGTTCTATAATATTTATATTATATCGAAGGAGTGCGGGTGGATGATGACACTTCCACCTTAGAAACTGGCGGAGAGCGAGCACCGCTGAACCAGTCAGCCTGTGACCTGACCAGTGCAACCTGATCGAAACGTCAGGCATTTGGCACCTATCGTAAGCGTTATAATTCCGTTAAATAATAAACTGTATACTTCATCCCCTAATTTTCCCCCTTACGGGTGATATTTTTCTGCAAATTTAAATGGAACTAAACGGGCAGTATACCCTTTCAAACAAAAAGAAGAATTTTCCAAATAGATGAAAATTAAAAAATAAATACAAACGAATCAAGATATTCTTCTTTTCTTGAAGTCGTGAAAATCTGAGCCTTTAATGACGTCAGAGAGTAAAACTAATTACTTATAAAATTATGACACAATTACCAAAAAATATTTGTATCCCAATAAAGTACATTATACATCGAAACCAGACCGTAAGTGTGACGAAAGTAATCTAATTTTGTTTATGTCAATATAAATAGCGCGTGCGCATTTCTTGTGACAAAAAAAAAGATTTTTATGATATATAAATTGCCGTTGTCTAGAGAATTCAGACGTAACACTCAAAAATTGAGATACGAAAGATTATATGGGCTATTAAATCTTCTGTTATGGCTATGACTGAGGCAGAGTATTTTTGGAAAGCATCTTTATGAGTTTAAGAACCGCTTAGCAGATGTGGTTACCTTGTTTGCTGTCTGGTTAAGAAAAAAAAGGTTACGAGATTGTTTTTGTATTTGAAAAAAAATGTTGATCATACAATCATATCTATTTAAGCATTCGTCTATTCATTATCAACCATTTTACGACCTAATCTTCCTACAAATAATAGCCATAATGGTTATATATTTTACCAAGTGTAGCGAGGTCGTGCACGCTTCATTTGATACGTGGCGGCTCGTGTGTCATGAATGAATGAAGGACACCGCAATTCATTACAAACAACGTATTGAGTTACTACCAATCACTACAATAGTAGCTAGGCAAGGTGGACAAACCTCCCGCATGCATAAAACTATCAAAAGTTATCAAACAATGAGGGTTTTCTGAAATGTTCCACGTGAGATGGCAGCACTGTAGCGTCAGGTCCAACCACCTGTCAAAACACATACACGATTTGTATTTTTCGATCAGTTTTTTGGTTTATTCATTCTTAAAAACGTTATAAAAGGAATATTGTTTTGTAAAATGCCAGTGTTGTGCAGTGCCTATGTGTGCAAATAAAACTTTTGCGCCTCTCTTTTTGAGCTCAATCTTCAGTTCGGCAACCTTTCTCTGGTCGTAATCTATAATAAACTCAATAACACTTCCAAATTCATAGAATTTCACTAAAAAATTATACGTTCGGTAAGAATCTGTGCTATCTGACAGCTGTTTGGACCTGACGCATACGAAGCGCTATCTGGTGGCAGAAATAATATCGAAAACCCTCATTCATTCCAGAGACCACGCAATAATAGCCACTAATTTTTCATAGTCTAGATCGCCCTAGTTTGCCAGTCACGCCTTAAGCCGCGATGCGTATCCCGCAGGGCCCAGGGGTGCTTTTGTAAAACTGCTTGGTTATTTAAAACTACTAGCACTTAACCCTTAACTTAAGTGCTCGTAGATTTGAGACCTCAGTGTTTAGCGTAAGTTCGTGCCCGCCGCCCGCCGTTAATAAACAACTTTTTGATACGGATAACCCAGAGCGTAGAGCTTGCCAGAGGAAACAGTAGTCCGGTGGACAAGGTCCTTAAACAGACATCAGTGTAGGTGTGGGATTTATATTGTATCTTCATCTTGTTTATTTCTGTATTACACTGAGGTGCTAGCATTATTTTCTGATTCCCACAACTGATGATTCAGAAGCCACTAACTCACTTCCATTTCCGTCGTTTAATAGACTCGAAGCACAGCACCTGAACCCATTCTCCATTTCCTCTTCCTTCAAGCGTCTCAAATGCAGTCTATTTATACGTCGTGTTTCCTTGGGGGGAACTACACTACTTGGGGGAACAAATACTTAAGTGGACTGTCGCCGGGGGATCTTACCATTTGGGACCTCGTAGTTTTGTTTTATTTTCTAGAACCCTCTTTGTTACATTAATTATAATTGTTTTTTTTTAAGAATTATATGGTAAAATATCGTTATTAAATATAAGCGTAGTATTTTTTTATTTCAACACCGGCTACTTACATTTGTTCTTATGAAAATTTCAACAATTTTTTAATACTGTTGTTTTAGTGGTTAATAACAAAAAGCAGAAAGTCCAAGACTATTCAAAAAGAAATAAATGTTTTAAATTTAGTTATCTATGGTTATATTTTATTTTACATATTATCCTCGTATATCCCAGTGTTTCTAAACTTAAAATTTCTTTGATTGACTACTGTATTTCTGTATTTCTAATTGCGGATATTTGTAAATGGCCATCAGACGTTCATGTATCTTATATTTTTAAAAATACTAGCTGTAATTATCCCAAACAGAGAAAAAATAAAATAAAAATAAAATCGTATAAAAAATCGAAAATTGGCGGTTTTTACTTTTGAATGTCAGTGGCTGAAGTTACTCTTGCCGCGAGACACTACATTGTCGCATTTTTTTTTAAATCATCATCATCATCAACAGCCTATAATAGTCCACTGCTGGACATAGGCCTCTCCTTAGAAAGGAGGTTTTTTGGCCTACTATACCACGCTGGCCAGACGGGTGGGTATAGGGTTTGTTTCAAGTTTTCCTTCTCTTTGCAGTGCTGTTGTCCTGCGTAGTTTTCTCCCTTAGTCGGTTCTTACGACACTCACGGGATGAATATGAGTTGTGACACTCTGTATTCTTAATCCGTCACCACATGGTAAATGTATATGTATATAGTTCGTGTATCAATCATCTGTCAGAGCTTCCGTCTGAGTTTTTTATCAAAACTATTCTGTTCTTACTGATCCGTGTTTTTATGGTAACTGGCTTCATTGACGATAATTTTTCTTGTTAAAACTTCTCATTTTCGGTGTCACTGTTTCAGATAATTGGTTGGCAGCCGGATTTCTATAACGTTACGGCGTTACCAGAAGATATACCTGAGGATCTTGCAGAATATATACATAATGAAAACCCATCAGAAGTAAGGATCTTTTTCCTAACTAGCAGCATATTATTCTTAAACCTTCCAGTTTATCCAAATATTTGTATTAAAAGATTTACAAGGGTAGTGCACTCGGTCGGTGGCGCTCGCTTCCAGGGAGCAGAGGGAACATGGGGTTCCCACACGGGGGGGGGGGGTCGTCTACTCGTCTGTAGATGGCCCGAGGTATGTCGGGGCACCAGGGACTTCCTTTCTAGGGTATCTAATATAAAAAGGCAGACTAGGCAGAGCCTGTGCTATGGCAACCAGACTGCGGATGAACATACTTATATATTTTTAAATACATACAAATTATAGATACATTACACCTGACACAGAACAAACGACCGTGCTCATCACACAATATTTGTATTGGGTGGGAATCGAACCCACGACCTGCAGCTTAGCAGTCAGGGTCACTAACCACTAAACCAATAGGCCCGTCAATTATGACTTGATCTATAAACAGAACATCATTAAATCATTAATCTCTTAAAGTTAATCATCACCTAATATCAATAGTCACAATTAACCAACTTTAACGAGATTTCCCTCGCGACACAAGATATATTCCTAATGCGGAAGTTGTCATTAAAAAAAAACGAGCACGGCCAGACCACCCAGAGAGTCTATTTTTTATGGAGACCTGCAGCTAAAAGTCACAAGTGCATTGCCTTAGTGCCACCCCCCACCCCCTTTAATTAAGAAGAGGGGGTTGAGATGAAAAGCAACGAAAGATTTATTTTACCGGTTTTCTAAGAGGCCGTTATATCACTCCCGAGCCGGCCTATTTGTACAACGTATTGTCAGACATGACGTTTCGCTAAATAATAATAAATCTCAATATGTCGGATAGTCCCACGTGGGTCCATTCGTCCCCTCGCCCTCGGTTCCCATAGGTCGGTCGTATAAAAGAACACAACACATGCTTTGAATTTGAATGCGCTTACAATGGCTATTCAAGATGGCCTTCTGTTAACAATCTGGTTTTTAGTTATTAGTAGCTGTGCGCACCGTTTTGCTTGCGTTTGCATGTAGGTATAATGTACGCTTTAAAACCAACTTAAAAAAAATAGGTTCTTACTTCGGTTGATTGTAAATGTTTGTTACTTCACAACTCCGTCATTCATGAACCGATTTGGGATCAAAAAGAAATTGAATGGCATAATTCCTCTTTGGTTACATACAAAAAAAAGGTCCAGGTGGTATTCTTTATTCAAAATTTGAATCTGAGCGTTCAGGCATGAGGAATACAGTTTACTAAAGGTAAATTCATCATAATTTAGGCACACTTTAAAAGTTAATTGTTTATTTATCATATGTGGGAGGTTACGGAAGCCCCATAAACCCTTCCGTAATTTGAGGCTCAACGGGCGGTAATGCTCTTGTGACTCTTTTGTGAGTTGCATGTGCCCATGGGCGGCGGTTGTCACTTGACATCAGGTGACCCGCCTGCCTGTTTGCCCCTATACTTCGGTCAGGTCCGAGGGTACCGTACCTACCGAGATTTTCGCGAAAATTTGTAAGTACCCATATCTTTTTATCGTGTGAACTCAAGACCTTGATTTTTATACACCTAATAGGGAACATAGACATCAGTATCTCGTATAAATTTCAACTTGCTAAGTCTACCCGTTCCTGAGAAAATCAGTGGTGATACACGGACAGACGGACAAGAAAGTGATCTTATAAGGGTTCCTTTTTACCTTTTGAGGTACGGAACCCTAAAAATGAGACTTATGACAGAGTCACAGAACCGTAATATGATCAATGTATCTCAGAACACGTGACAGGCCAT